TATTAACTTCTATGTGTGTATGTATTGTCCTTTCTCATCACATAATGGAATAACCATTCGAAATGTACTTATTTTATTTTCTCACCTGTTAATGCTAACTTTAATTTTTTGAATTATTATTAATTTAATATAATTATATTGACTGTCTTATCTGTATTTTGTTTCATAGTTATATCTATATTTCTATGTACTCGTGCCAACTTTGTTATTGGCCTCTGTGCTGTTAAGTTTGCAAGTAAATAAACACGAATTGAATTGAATTATTATTATTCCTAAATATTTATACGTTTCATTTCTCAGTTCTCAATAACAACTTAGATTTATGATAATTAAATTATTGTTATTATTATCGTTATTGTATGTTTACTTGTCTGCATTAATGTGTTTTTCCTCCAGTGGTTCTCTGTAATTAGTTTTTGGTTTTATGTTATGTTTGTAGATAATGTAATTATTTTTATTTATACTGTGCTGTGTCTGTAATTGGCTTTGCGGCTGTTGATTCGGCTCATAAATAATAAGAATTGAACTGAATTATTATTCCGAGAGATTAAAATATTCAGACACGTTTTGTTTTTAAAATTAGTTATTGACAAGGGTGAAAAATTTACCGGTACGAAAATAAGGTTCTCAATATGAAGGAAAAGCAATACGGACAGCACTACCATGGAAGCTTTGCAAGTCCGTGCTTGATGTAACTGACTTTACGTCACATGGAAGCGTTCTTACCTGTCCTCCATACGACATTTCCCGTCTCGAACTTTGCAATTCGTTTTGAAGTCTTCAAATAGTTTTATGCACTTTCTTTCTTCCTGGCAGACGGAGAGGGCGTGGTTGCAGGTTGGCAATGCGTCCACGGGGTAGGGGTCTTTTTCTGCAAAAAACAATACAAATGTTTCACGTTTCGTTACTTACAGCAGAGGGGTTCGTATCGGGTGTCTCATGGCAATGTACACTGCAGTGACTACCGTGGAAGTTCATTGTAGCTAGAAACTTTACTTATGGCCGTCTCATGGAAAGAAATTGTCCGTCAGTAGTTCAGAAACTTCCAGCACGTAGACCCGATGCTAAGTAACGACACTGTAAACAAGGCCCGTTGCAAGGAAACAGATTCCTAACATGTACCAATTGAATAATTGGGAAGCGCTTATCTATACGCGGTCTGTGCGCCAACTGCGTCACACAAACATAAAAGAAATGTTAGGATATGTATTTCCTGTGCGGTCTGTGCCGAGATGTTACACGCAAGACAAGCCTAGAGTTTAGTTAGTTGCGAGAAAGTCTCCGGTCAGTAAAGACGTGAACACGGAAGTTGAGGGATCTGCGAAGTTGGAAGCCGTTACCGGACAACGACTGGTGAAGACACAAGAGACTAAGAAGATTTACTACGTGCTCTAGTCAACTACATAGTGTGTGAAATAGAGATAGCGTTATAGTTACATGTAGTTATGTTCTGTAATGTGAAGGAAAGGAAAAGCTATTTCTGTAACAGACCGTGGAGGTCCACATGGTTGTAAGTCGTCGAAGCTACCACATTTTATAGAAAATCGGCTTAAAGGCGGCGGTGAGAATGTCAGCGTTACGTTCTGACCGCCTTTTACCCCCAGGAAAATTCCTGGTACTCCTTTCAGGTAGAAGCTGAGTCGTTCCCAGGGCTATAGTGCAGCTGGAATAATTAGGTCAATTAAAAAAAATCAAATGACCACATCGGGAATCGAACCCGAGACCATCCGGGTTGTAGCATAGTGCGTCAACCAACTACGCTACCACGTTCATATAATTATGTCAGATATTTGTTTTAAAACTAAAGAAACTGTGAAATATTGCAACAATTTTCTGAAATCACTATCTATTACGTTTAAGCGGAACTTGAAACAGTTTTTCAGTTTGTTACAGTCAAACCACAGACCTTACCACTGACAGCCCCCGCTGTTATGTCTTTAACACAACTGCTAAACCAGTTTAGTATCTTGATGAAGGAAGAGCTGGCAGAGGGTCGTGTCACAGATGAACATGAAGTTCTGTGGTTGTCACAGGGGGCTCTATTGTCCAGCTTCAATATGGCAGCCGCAGAAAGGACGGGCATGGGACTAACTCTTTGTCAGTAGCAGATATTCACGCGGGAGTTTAGCCATCATTTCCGGCAATCTAAGCCCTTACACTCTCTCTTTCATCTCTCCATGAAAGAAGGCCATAAGTTTGCTGGTTTCAGGCAATAAGTACAGTTTTTGAGAGAGTTTCATTCTGAATCCCTTAGTCATAAGCTGCTGTTATTATCGACAGCCTCTGTGGTCTAGTAGCCAGAGTTTCTGGCTACATCTCTAGAGGTCCTGGGTCCGATCCCCGGGGCTACCAGATTTTCTGAGAATTAGTGGGTCTGGAACGGGGTACACTTAGCCTCGTGAGGTTAATTGAGGAGCTGTTTCAAGGGAAAAGCGGCTCCGGTCTAGAAAGCCGAGATTAATGACGGTGCGGTTACGTTGAGCTGACCACGCGACACCCTCTATCCGCTAAAGTTAGCACTAACTTCGCCGAAAAGTGGCGGTAGCTCGGTCGGTATAGTTCGCTTGAGGACTAAATTCAGGAGTTTTTTTTTGTTATCAACATTATTATTGTTGTATATGAAGAAAAATAACATGAAAATGCTAGGCAATGTATCACCATGTTAGGACAAATGAAATATATCAGAATACATTGAAATTCTGGAATTTTATAAGAATGTATAGAGAGTAAATAAATCGACGTTATTAATAAACGGAAGTAAGTTGTAATAATGCAAACATTTAGGTTAACATTTTCAGATTTTGATTAATTTTTACACGAAGAAGCTTCGTAGAAAGCTGATAAACTGGAAACAATACTAAAATAAATATTGCAGAACTAGGCTGCAGAAGTCATCTAGCTGAGAACACCAGATCAAGTCGCAAGAGGTAAATAGCAACGAGGTATAGTGAAATATGCACAGGAGCCACTGCAGACGGGAGGAACAGCCTCGTATCCAGTATTACCAAACAGTATCCCGGAAGAAATACAACACAAAGAGATACATGTCAGGATATTCAGTTTCCGGTCAGAGATACGAAAACGTGACCTCCTTCCACTACAAACTAGGTGGCCTGTAGTCCGCAAGGGAACTATACCGACCGAGCGACCGCCGCTTCTCGGCGAAGTTAGTGCAAACTTTAGCTGATAGAGGGCGTCACGTGGTCAGCGTGACGGTTCCTCATGGCCGTTAATTTCGGTTTTTCTACACCAGAGCCGCTATTTCCTTGAAATACTCCTCAATTATCCTCACGAGGCTGAGAGGACCCCGTTCTAGACCCACTACTTCTCAGAAAATCTGGCAGCGTCAGGAATAGAACCCGGACATCTGGTTCTGTAGCCAGAAACTCTGACCACTAGATCACAAAGGCGGTCACTTCCACTACAACTACTATAATGTTATAAACTCCTAAATTGATATCTGGAAGATACTGGCGAAAGAGTGTGTAGTGTCTAGTATTAATCTGTATATTTTGCAATAAAATGTAATATCTGTTCTGAAAATAACTTTCCAAAAATATTAAGGAAGTCATTTTAATTTCGTGGGAGGGCCGCGCCATAGCTCAAGCGGTTAGTCGCTGGCTTCCCACCGCGGCGGCCCGGGTTCGATCCTGGGTCTGCTAAAGTGGGATTTGTGGTAGTCAAAGAGGCGATGGGGCAGGATTTCTCCGAGTACTTCGGTTTCCCCTCACCTCTCATGTGGGGCTCGTACAATAGGCCAGAAATGGTCGCAGTACAAGGGACTTAGCCCTACCGCACTACCAACAAACAGAATTTCGAGTGACTGCAGGTAAGCGAATTGCAGGCAAATAAAGCAACAAAACATTGCATCCGGCTCTGGTTTTCTTCAGGAGCTCTACCACATAATGAGCAAATGGTAAGCAAAGTTCCAACTTCGGAATTAATAATTTTAATCTGCATTAAGAAATATGTCACATAATATTAAGTAAAGTTGCTAAAACTAGAATTTATTTTAAAAACTACACTTTTTAAAGCCCTGAAATTTATTTCATGTACTTTAAGTGAGATCAACGATATCATTTCGAAATTAAAACATTCTCACGAAAAGAATTTTGGAAAGCCAGACGATTATCCATTGGACACGCTTGTACGACAAAATCTTTTTGTAGCAAACAAATTGTGTTCCGTTATTTGTGGTTTTACGGATATAATATATGTTATATTAAACACGAGCCGACATTACGAAGAGAAATGGACATGAAATTCAGGGCACGAAAATCCTGACCGTAACTCACATATATACAAACAGAGAAAACTCGTTTTAGAAGAGACCTCCTTTGGGACTGGGATATTCATATCAACTGGCTTGCTCGCCCATGGTGTCCAACTTTGTTGAAATGTGACAGTCATAAGGAGAAGACTCAGGCTGAAGGAGAGATAGAATGGTTGAGAAAAGAGACAAGCCAGAAGACAGAGACAGGGAAGAGGATGTTCTCTTGAAAACCCCGCCCAATGCATCACATTTGCATTATGCATACTGAAGCTTTTCGTTCCGTGATATAAAACTTTCATGAGGCTGCTATTAACTGAATATAACACCACAGTTGGAAGGTGGGGAGGTATACCTTGCAGGCGGAGAATACTTTGTCAAGTGTTTTGAGGGTTGGGTGTGAGAAGTGAGGAGTTATTTGATACTGGTAGACCCAAGGGCTGCTTCTCATGGACTCAGCACAGAATGACTAGCGGTTCTTACACCAAGAATATGGAAAAGAAACAAAGCCAGTTCGAGGAAACGGGAGGTACGCGCTGGGTTCCTCTTTGGAAGAAAACATATGATGAAATTGATATGCAGTTGTGGTTAGTAAATAAGCATGTTCATGAAGAAATAGTGTTGCTAGGCAACTTTGAGTTCTATGTAATTAAAGCTGATCTATATCCTGCATAACTTTCGTTTTTTTTTTCCATAAACGCATTACAAGAAATTAAAACCTGAAAAGCAGAAACAACTTGGTAAAATATTATGTTTTTGGACATTATCCATCTTTCTGTCTTTATCCTGAAACCGTCCTGTTTAATTTTCAAAACAAAACGTTTCGGAGACTGGATTCTGTCTCCTTCTTCAGGTAAAACCTACTCAGTGGGGCCCAAGAGATAGAGTTAGTCCCTATCTCTGGACACGTGTACCAGCTGCAAGATGGCGTACATAAATCAAACACAACACAAAACATCTGCGAGAGCTAAGAAATTATTCAATTATTGAAACTCCACACGTATGAGGCCTTGCAACACAGAAGTATCTTAGAGCTGGTACAGATGTATGGAGATAGGGACTAATCTACCGATTGGGCATAACTGAGTAGGTTTTACCGGAAGATGGAGACAGAATCCAATCTCCGAAACGCTGTGTTTTGAAAAATAAACAGGACGGTTTTTAGATAAAGACAAGACAATGGATAATGTCCGAAAACATAATATTTGTACTATTGTACCATCATTACAAACTTTTAGATCTTAGAAACAACTTAGATGACCCAGATGTAGATGGAAACATAATATTCAAAGTAATCTTGAAGAAATAGGTGGACATAAACTGAGTTAATATGAATCACAACATGGAAAATTGAAGTTCTTTTTGTGTGTGAACAAGACAATCAACTTTCGTATTCCTATAGCAGCTGGGGCCTTCTTTGTTATAGAAATATAATTCGAAGTACCCTCGTTTGAAATAAATTATAAATTTGTAAATATTTAAAAATTATAAAATAACTGCAAGAAAGATCAACCCAATGAAATTTTTCATAATATAAATTTTCAAGTTTCTTATTTCAGGTACTACTTTTTGTGTCTATGAATGATATCACGCCGCCTGTA